TTTTAGTAATATGAATTAGTTGAACTTAATAATCATATTTAAGTAATGTGGTAATGTGGTTAAGTAAATGGTTATCGAACTCAAATTTTGGGATGGGAAAATTAAATGGATTGATTAAAGTTTACACGTGCCAATTTAAAAAAAGTTTACGATATTTGTATTTTTCTGTTTATGCTAATTCTCTTACATGTAGATATTTGAGAAGAAATATTTTATTTATTTTTAAAGTAAATGCCAGTAAAAGCAAATATTATTTTTAAATACTAATACAAAGTAATAAAAGTAATACACATATATAATTATTTTGATTTCTAATTTTTTATTTATATTTTCTTCTATTACACTGCATGCTTAGAAAATTAATAAATTTTTATATTTCATGATTTTAAAATTTGTTGTTAATATAACAAATTAGTTCTGTAATTATTATTATTTAATAAACCAACGTTGCCACACAAAAAAATTTAGAGACTATATTATTTTTTAAATAGGATCTAATATAAATAATTTTGACTTCTAATTTGTTGTTTATATTTTGCTACTACTTAAAAAATGTTTATATTAAATGATTTTAAATTTTGGTGTTAATAGGTATAACAAATTATTACTGTTATTATTATTTATTAAACCAGTTTTGCTTAAAAACATTAAAATCATTTTCCTACATCCAAAATATAAAGTATTATTGCAGTGTAACAACAGAATATTAATAAAAAACATGCAAAATATATAGTTATACTAACTAACTATAATACCAAAGAATAATATTCTTTGCTAATACCAACTAATACGAATATACGGCAACAGCGCCGTTCATAATGTATTTTCTGTGTAAATACTAGCACCTCAATAAAAAAAAATAATGTGTCCTTATCTTTATCTGACTCAAAATCAAAGATGCCGGCTTTTTTCATACCATTGCCACCGACCGCCGGCCGACCGCTGTCGGGTTTCTAGGGAAGAAACCTACGTCGCCGGGCGACAACTAAAATCCAGTTTATGTTTTATTATAATCGATCCTGACGAATAAATGAATTTTACAAATGAATGAATTTTATAAATGAATGGTTTTTGCTGCCGAATTAATATATTTCAAGGCAGATGATGCATCTATTCGATATTTTTATTCGAATAGTTTTCGACGAATGTTTTCTTACTAGCTATCGAATTATTCGAATGAATTGCAACTATCGAATGTTTCGATAATATTCATTCGATAGTTCCCACTACTAGTATTTACACAGAAAATACATTATGAAGGGCGCTGTTGCCATATATTCGTATTAGTTGGTATTAGCAAAGAATATTTTTCTTTAGCATTAGTTAGTTAGGGATAGTATGTCTATATGTTTTGCATTTTTTTATTAATATTCTGTTGTTACACTGCAATAATACTTTTTATTTTGGATGTAGGAAAATGATTTTTAATGTTTTTAAGCAAAGACTAGTTTAATATATAATAATAACAGTAATAATTTGTTATACCTATTAACAACAAAATTTAAAATCATTTAATAATATAAACATTTTTTTAAGTAGTAGCAAAATATAAACAACAAATAAAAGTCAAAAGTATTTATATTAAATCCTATTTAAAAATAATATAGTCTCTAAATGGCAACATTGGTTTATTAAATAATAATAATTACAGAACTAATTTGTTATATTTTGTACAAATTTTAAAATCATGAAATATAAACATTTATTAATTTTCTAAGCATGCAGTGTAATGGAAGGAAAATATATATAAATAAAAAATTAGAAATCAAAATTATTTATATTACTTTTTATTACTTTATATTACTATTTAAAAATAATATTTACTTTTACCGGCATTTACTTTAAAAAATAAATGAAATATTTTTTCGCCAAAAAACTACATGTAAGAGAATTAGCATAAACAAAATACAAACATTGTTAACTCTTTTTTTAAATTGGCACGTGTAAAACTTTCAATTTAATTTTCTCACCCCAAAATTTGAGTTTGATAACCATTTACTTAAGCACATTACTTAAATATGATTATTTAGTTCAACTAATTAATATTATTAAAACATCTAAAATACAAATATGTATTTTTAAAATTAATTGTAAGTTCATCTCATCTCTCTTAAAAATTGATACTTCTCAAAATTTCCCATTAAAAAAATGCAATCTAACCTAACCATAATATACCATATAAAATTAAATAATTGAAAGATCGGGCTACGGAAAATCACACAAATTTTCGGAAAAATTTTGACCACCTCGCACACAATCGTCAATTAAAAAAAACTACTATTTTAGTATTTTAAATATTTTAATAAACGCAAAAATAGCATAGTATTTACAAGGCGAAGTTATAAAAATTTGGAAGAATTAATAATGCACTGACGCACACAAAAATCAAACGAATACTAAATTTCATTTATCAAAAGCATTCGATAGTCGTGGCTCGTGGCGCAACGATAACCATTTAGTCGCACGGCGAGGTTGTCACATATACTTTAGTATACAAATGAAAGAATGATTTTATTCGAATAAAACCATTCGATAGTTGAAATCATTCATTCAGTAACCATTCGATAGTCTAATTCATTCGATAGTTCCCATCGCTAATTATTAGGAACAAGTTAAACATTTGAAAAATATATAGGAACAACATAACAACTAAGTACAACGAAATTTAATTTTAAAGCGCTTTAATCTTCTTCTTCTTCCACTTCGCCTAAATTCTGGCAAGTTTGACACTTTATTACGGTTGTAGTATGTTCTTTGCAAACAAAATTTTGACACGATGTACATCTCATCGTAGTCACTCTGTTTTTAGCGCGTCCACATAATACACAACGGCTCCTTATTTTCAGTGGTGGCTCTGCAGAAGTTAGGTTTTCATCGGGTTGGTTATACTTGGACAATAGCAGTTTGATTCTCGCTGGCAAATTTTTCAATTTTGATCTTTCGGCAAGATGTTTTCCATTAGGAGCATGGCCGTTGTTTTCAAAAACGTTCTTCGATTTTTTGCTGGGTTATCAGAATGTGTTCCATTATATAGAATTTGTGCGTTAATTCCAGCTATGTTTAGCATATGAAAAAACAAGCACAGGGTCCATCTATTAGTTCTGCGTGAAACTGAGTAGTTTCCACAAAGCTGGTCAACTGTGTCAACACTTCCTTTAGTCTCATTGTAAAAATGAATTACTTCGGGCTTATGTGTATTTATGTTTACTGCAGCATCATCGTGCATGGTAGATATCAATACAACTGCCTTATTTGTCTTAGGTACAAAAGACACCATCATCAGGTTTTTCTGGAAACCAAAAAGAGTTGAATTTATAACTCTTGTTTTATGCGGCTGAAATTCAATAGGAATATCAGCCTTATTTTTTTTTAAGAGTTCCCACAAGTGTGATCTTTTTTTGCAACAGTTCCGTTGCAAGTGGACAACTGGTATACCGGTTATCACAAGTCAAATTACGGTTCTTTCCTTCTACATGGTCCAAAAGTCTTATTACAATGTCATGTGGAGAATTAGAGAGCTTGTTAGGTCCATTTGGTTGCTGCCCACAGTAAATTTCTCAATTGGAAGTATAATACGTCTTGGCATCGCATAGTGCAAACAGTTTCAATCCATACTTTGCCGGTTTACTAGGTATGTATTGTATGAAACTGCAGCGTCCTCGAAATGGCACTAGCATTTCATCGATTGTCAAGAACTCGCTATGACAATAATTTATTTTACAATTTGATACAAATTTACTGAAAGTATTCCGAATAGCTACCAATTTATCCGTTTTTCTCCTTTCATCTCTAGTTTCTTTATCATCAAATCTGATTTTAGACAAAATAAAAAGAAAACGGTTGTAGCTCATACACGCTGCAAATAAATCAAAACCTGTCCCATCTTGCATCCAAAGTTCGTGAAAATTAGTATGATTGACTTTTTTCAATCCTGATAAGAACAACATACCAAAAAAAGCCAAGATTTCATTGTTTGTTATCAATTTAGCATCTCGCTCTGTGGAATAATTTGGTTGTTGGCTCTCAATAAATTTATTTGTATTCAAAACAATGTCATCGATCATTTCATTCGTAAACATTTTTTGAAACGCGTCAAGTTCATTTGTTATCCCTGACGCACAACGGTTAGGACGGGGCAATATTTTTACAATATTTTTACTAGAAGTTTTAGCAAACTTACTAACGTAAGGTATTCTCCTCCATTTGATAGTCCTATTTTTTCCAAAAAAAAACTCTTATCGGCATTATCATCAGTGTCACTGTCAGTAGAAATCTCATTTTCGCGATCACTGCCTTCCAGTTCTGATGTACTGTCATGATCACTTTGAGTAATCACTTTCGGTTCAAGGTCATCTTCCTCATCTGAACTCCCAGCTTCCAAGAAGGCCCTCATTTCCTCTTCCGTTACGCATTTGGGATTTTTTACAGGAATAGTAGACCTAAAATTCAAAAATTAAATAAATAAATGAATATTTTTAGTCTAATTGTAAGCAAAGTCAGATGCATATGACAAACATATTCATGTACAACACCACCACATAATGAAATCAACGAATAAATATAGAATATTGAATACTTACATTATTCACACAATTTCCCGCACGGTGTATTCTAGGCACCAAAGTAACAAAGTTTTAAAATTTGCGTAAAAACACACTGAGCAGTCGGGCATTTGGCGTATAACTGAGTCATTACATTCCAGACACGTCAGACATAGGTTAGGTGGGGGTGCAGCGTCACGAAATAAATTATACGATTAATGGCAGTAACAAAAATGGCGTTGGTGTACAAAATACACCAGCGCGAGTAATTAAAGGCTTTGGCACACAGAACGCGATCTGTCGCGGCGGGCAACTTTCGCGCGATCTTCGCTGCGGTAAAGCGATCTATAACGCCACACAGGATGCGATATTTTTCTGCAGTCGGACGTGCCTGTCATAGAAAATAACCTAACGTGCCTGTGTTTGCAATGTCTAGCTCTGACGAGGAAGAAATTCTTCTCTTTGCTCTACTAAAAAAGAAAAAGAAAAAACGTTACTGGGTACATCCCATCAATAAAAAGAGGGCCCAATTTGGCGAATACCACCGCCTCTGTATTGAACTACAGTCTCATGAAGACAAGTTTTTTCAATATTTCCGCATGTCGAGATTGTGTTTTGAAGAATTGCATGACCTTTTAAAGGCAAATATTGCTAAGTGCACCACGAACTGGAGAAAACCAATTCATACAAGAGAAAGATTAGCTATTTGTTTGAGGTAATTAAAAGTCATAGACACTTTATGTGAAATTTACAAATAAACTATAATTAATATATTAATATACAAACATTTATAGTGTTTAAACTTGACCAAAATGGCGTAGAAACGTCAAAATCAACATTGAAATTCAAATGTTTAAAATAATAACATTTAGAGTAAATTTATTTATTATCTAGGTTACATTAAGATAAATATCTTCGGAATTTTCAATCATGTCGCTTGCTTCTTCATAAACATCTTTTGTTGAAAAAAGATTTGATTGGCATGACGATCTTTCGCTATATATTTGTGTTTGAGTATTGGGGTCCAAATGTTGCGATGTCCCGGAATAGTTGTGGTCCAAATAATGTAAAGAATTGACCGAAGAAGCTCGAGAATGTGATGCTGATGCCTCTATCGCTGGTGGTGATTGGGCTTCTAGCTCTTTAATTTCAGTTTCTGCAAATAATTTGGCAAGCTCTACCTTCAACTTGGCCTGAGTCAATGGACTGAATTTTTTGAAGGTCGCAGCATAACTCAAAAATAAATGATCAACATCATCGATGCCCTGTTTGCTTCTTTTGTTTGACAAGAAGTCAATGACTTTATCGACGTCATCTGAGCCGTTTTCTATTGATGGGTGACTACGGGACTTATTTTTTTTTTCTTTTGGTCGGGCTGGTGTTCGTAAAGGTGTTGAAGATCGTTCGCGAGATGCATTTGTTTCTTGGGTATCATCAGACATCAACAAATTCTCTGCTTCAGAGAACTGACTATCTTCAGTTTCTGATAAGATTTCTGTTGGTACATTGCTACTATGCAAACGTGGTTTAAGAGTATAATCCAAAAATTTCATATGGATACTCCAAGGCCACTTATGGTATTTCTTGGCCTGACCAGTTTTACCCGTTGTAAACTTCTTGTATCTCACGTAGGAATCACGTAAATTCTTCCATTTTTGTTTTGCTGATTCAGCTGAAACAGAAATAAATCAATTAGATAAAGTACTTAGACCTCTTTAAAATATTCTAAATCACTTTAAATTATTGTATTTTATTTAAATTTTGCATTTGAAACAGTAGAAGTTAATTAACATCAATGTTTAAAAAAAAACATTCACTTCATACATTAACATCAATGAAATAATTACATCATGATGTTAAAGATATGTATTTTTCTTTTTCAGATATTTGGCGACCGGCGACAGCCATCAGACTATAGCTTTTTCTTATCGGGTAGGACGATCAACTGTTTCCAAAATTGTGAGAAATGTCTGTCAAGAAATTTGGAAAACTCTACAGCCAAAGTATTTGCCATCACCCAACAGAAAAATGTGGTTACAATCTGTTGAGGATTTCTTGGTACTTTGGGGCTTCCCGAACTGTCTTGGAAGTATAGACGGAAAACATATTAAGCTAAAATGTCCTCGTCGTAGTGGCTCAGCTTATTTTTGTTACAAAAATTATTTCTCCATAGTACTCCTTGCTATCGTAGACCCACATTACAAGTTTATGGTAGTGGACATTGGCAATTATGGGCGTCATAGCGATAGCGCTATCTTTGAAAATTCAGCTTTCTATCAACAATATATTGATAATAAAACTATTTTACCTCCAAGACCACTTCCAGGAAGAGACGACCCAGTACCACATGTATTTGTAGGTGACGAAGGATTTGCCCTGCAAACTTATTTGATGAGACCATACCCAAAAACTGGAATCATTAATGACACAAGAAGAAAAAAATTTAATTCACAGCTCAGCCGAGCACGTCGTGTAGTCGAAAATGCATTCGGCATATTGGCTATGAAGTGGCGAGTTTTCTTAAGAGCCATAGAAACAGATGCTGCAACGGCTGACTGGATTGTAAAAGCAGCATGCTGCCTACACAACTATATTATTACAAAAAACAATACTAAAGAATATGTAGATATGGAAACAGAGGAACAAGATGAACCAATACGAGCGCTACTAAACACAAGACCGACCAACAGAAGATCGAATACTGCTGCGTTTGAAGTACGAGAAAAATTCGCCGATTACTTCAGCAGTTTATAAACCATGTATCTTTATTTATTTTATTTTAATATTATCATATTGTATTTTTTAATTTATAAATAAAATGTACTCACCAGTCATGTTGAGAGTTTTTGCTATTTCGTTCCATGCTTCACTTTTCTTCAACATATTCTTATAATGTTCATGTGTAGTGTCATACAAAAACACATAGCTTCTCACAGTTTCTATAAATATTTCATTATTTTCCGACATTTTTAATTTCATTGATGGATGTAAACATAGAAAATAACCTAAGATGTAAATATAATATATATCGCGCGATAATTTGTAAATTTGTACAAGTGTATCGCTTGTCGTCGCGATCTAACCTTGCCCGCCGCGGTAGACCGCTTTCAGTGTGCCCATCCTCGTACATTTTTGTGTAATACAAAATTGCTGCGGTCAAATATCGCTGCCCGCCGCGACAGATCGCGTTCTGTGTGCCAAAGCCTTGGTTAAGGTTTCTAGATCTCAAAAGGGTATATTATTTTTCATCATTGTAAAGAAATATTTTTTTTGTGCTTATCGAAATATAGTTGATAATTTGAATATTTAGTTGTTGCTAAATCTGATTTATCACTTGTTTCAATGAATTCTTGGTATGTTTTTATTTCAACGGTATTAATTTTAATTGGAGATAGTGCGTCTGCAACGTAATGTTTTCAATTTTTCCGAGGTTTTGTTTAGCATAACAAGACTCTACATTATGTCCTAATTTGTTACAAAAAGAACAAGTTTTTATAAGAAGCTTTATTAACAAGGGTTTATTTGAAGAAGTTTGAGGATAAGAGAGGGATTCATTTTGCTGAGCTCAAAAAATTTCTATGGTCGAGTTAGTAAAGCGCGGAGTACTTTGTTGTTCGTATAAACGTAATATAAACGTATGTTTGTATAAACTTATGTATGTTCCGAATTTTTATGATTGAACAGTTAAAGGCTCATTTGTATGTATTTAGTAAAAAAACAAAATGTTTAGGAAAATACATATTTATTTATATTGATTTCAAATTTTAACGGTAAATATACTGCTTAATTAAACTTCTGACATATATTTCTTTCATTCCTATGGTATAAAAAAAATTTCAAAATGAATATAAATAATACAAATATTTTGTAACTATAATAAATGTGGATTAAATTACAGTGATGTTGAGGTTAATGATAAACTAACAGATATTTTTTTTTCAAACAAAAAGTGCAGTGAAATGGAAGAGATACAATAATAAGATGAACATTCACCAAATAAATTGCTTTATTAACACAGTTGTGTTAATTTGTAATTAATTGTAGTTACAAAAACATACACATCGCTAAATAGTCGAAGGCAACATAGAAAGTATCTTTTCTATTTCCGCCATACTGCAACGTTAGTCTTTGATGAGCTTCCTCTGATTTTGAATAAACTTCTTTAAATTCTTTGTAGTGCTGTTTATCCAAATCCGCTTGAAATCGCATTTTCGCAGGTCGATACTAGAATGCTCTTTAAAACATCTGTCAGAAATAACTTCATCATATTCTTCACATTTTGACTGTCGACTGACATTTTGCGCAACCGTGCGAGAAGTTGGGGCCATCAGTGGCGTAGCGTGGGTTAAGGGCGCCCGGGGCGGAAAGCCCCTAGGAGAGAGGTTTGCCGCCCCTACAGATTCCGTCCGTCGCGCCGCCATTATAACAATTTTTTGTCGCCCCGCAGATACATGGAGGGTCGCCGCCCTGGGGCCATTTTCAATAATTTCGAAATACTGTAATGTTTCCTTTAACACTGACCGTTCTGAACTGAATGACCACGAATGCAAACCTTGTTTATGCCCCACCCTAAAGTGATTATTTTTGTTATTAACAATGGATGATTTCGAAATATTTATTTATGACATTATTATTACTTAATTGCCTAAAGGGAGAACGCATAAATTGCTGATTCTCGAAATAATTTATTAAATTTATTAATTTCTACTATTGATATAGGTTTTTGTAAACACATGATCGTGCAAAGAGGATTTTTCGTAGTATTCTCGTAAAAAAGTCTGAACAGATTCATCGTATGCAGTATTATATTTTACCATTTTTTGAATTCTCAGCAAATGTTTTTCGACACGGTGCCATTTTATAAGCTAAACAGCGAATATCGAGTGTTTCACCAAATTCCTTTAATAATTCGTCCTTTTTTGTTTGCCAGTCGTTTAGTTCCAATGAAGCTATATGGTCGAAAGCAGGCTCTTCTAATTTAGGTTTTACACTAAGTTGAAAAAAATCATAATCCTGAGGATCGAAACGACTGTAAACAGAGTCTACATCGTCTATAAAATTATGCAATTATGTTCTACTACCATTAACATTTTGAATTAATTTAAATGCCTTATCGTACGAAAAGAATAAGTGAAAGGGTTGGCTTTGGTTAGAAGGTTGTGTCATTTTGATAAAATAAAACCTTGTAAAATAAAAGAAAAAAAATGTAAAAGAAAAGAAAGGACAGAAAAAAGGTTTACCTAACAGTTTGTACGACTAAATCAAGCGACTTGTCCCAATACTGCTAGTTGTAAGTTCTACTAGTTGGATCGTAGAAGTTGATTGTGATGACCAGGTACGGGCACTCATATTTCTGGCGTTTTTTCAGTTGAGTTGTCTCGGGAAAGTCAGGCTTCTGGCGTTTTTCCAGCTGGATTTCTTTGGGGAAACTCAAACTGAACGAAAATGTTTAAAATTTATTTATTTACTTATAGCTAGTACCAAATTGTTTTCTTCCTTTTTAGACTAAATTCAGTGTGCGTTAAAGTTATTAATTGTACTTCCTTAATTGTTAGTTTGTAGTTTTACTTGTTTAATAATACTTATGATCATAAAGTAAAATTTTATCACTAAAATCTTAGAAAAAAACCTTTTTTTTTGTTTATTTTTATTTAAATTTGTGCAAAGACCCAACCTCCTGGATTTAGAAACAGGGAGGGGGGCAAAAGTAAGCATACCTTTTGGTGATGATGGTCGTTATTTATTATTAACAAAACTTTTTACGCGCTTTTTAATTTGGTTGAATTTTTTTTTTAAATTTGTGTAGAGACCCCAATTGTACGTCGGCGATTTTAATTTTTATATTTTTTTGAAGCCAGTGGTATCGGCATTTAAAAAACAAAGTACTGAAAGTTTATATTTTTTTTTTCTTGACATCTTGACCCAGGCTAACTGTGACAGGGATGCAATTGTTTCTTATGTTTCTTACGTTTTACAATACCGGAATTAATGCTCGAAAACAAATATTAACAGCGTTATCTTTCCAGAATTCTACCGACTGCGCCAGTTATAAATGAAAATCGACTTCCAATTGGAATTAATTGACTTTATTAACTTTAACAAAAATAACAAGGTGAAAAACAATAAGAGTTAAAAAAGCTGTGAACGATACAACGGCCAAAATCGCCTACATTAAGGTTTAGACCGGACCTGACAGGGTCGCTCCCAAGAAAAATAACTCATAATATATAAACCAGACATAACAGACCGTATTCCGTGAAACACTTGTCGATATGTCCCTATTGCACTAGATTATATGGCGGTACAAACTGTCATAAAAATAACACACATAACAGTTTCAAACAATTTGAAAACCCCAGGAAGAAGGCTGATCGGTTTATAATTAACCATATTTTCCCTGTTCTCCTTCCCCTTGTATATAGTCTTATTAACGCCATCTTTGACTGGTTAGGAAAGATATCACTCTTAAAAATTATTTATATTAGATTATTTACCGCCAATTTCTAAACAGACGCCCGCGCTTAAATTCAAATAAATAGTTATGGTTAACCTTGACAAGTAAAACACAACAGCAAAAAAAAAAGAAAATAATATATTTTGCTAAGAAATATTTGACATGTTTGTTACAAATACGTTCAGCTAAGTAACAAAATTTATACATTTAGTGTTTCTTATACAGTTAATATTATAGGTCTAATGAAATTTTATTTGCGATTTATTTGAGGGAGATTTAGGATAAATAAGGTTATGTTTTCAAAGGTTTTTAATTTCTGGAATTATGGGTATCAGGAAAAAATGCGCTGCGGCATCTCTCCCATACACTGGTGATAGACGCCGCAAAAAATTGTGGTAGAGACGCTTTAATTTCGTGTTTTATTTTAATTCAATATGCCTCGTAGAAATCAAAGAAAATCAAAATAGGGTGTACAAGGGGTGACCGTCCTCTCCAGTATGCCAGGAGAGGGCGGTCAGTATGCCTGAAGAGAGCGATCAATATGCCTGCAAAGGGCGGTAAATATGCCTGCAGAGGGCGATCAATATGCCTGGAAGAGAGTGATCAATATGCTATTTACATTAACTTTTGGATTACTTAACTTTTGGATCTTTATGTCCTCTAAACAGACAATTCCTTTTCAAGAAACTTTCATTCAAAACAGACCAACCGTTCATTTGGTCTACTGGAGCCTTCAGTATCGGTCAAATGTCGCTTTCCTATGGTCCCACCTTGTTTCAGTGAAAATGTGGTCACTTTAAAATAGAAGTACTGCGGACGTGAACAGTGTTATACGGTGTTTTGTACTATTTAGACGGCGATGTATAGTTTTCTTCTAAAGATACCACTCACAACATGATTTTTTTCGATTGCGATTTATAACTGAGTATCTGAACTTGAGACAAACAAAACTTCACAAAACACCAACACTAAATGTTCTCAACCACTTCTGATGTCGTCGGGCACGTGGGGAATTAGCAATAAAACGGTAATTCACCAAAATAAACGAATATATTACGAGATGACAAACCCCACTCCGTGGCCGTATCGATTCCTCTCCTGAGTCAGCGGTGATAAGACAACATTGAATCACCGGTCGCAACCGCGCCTCGGCCAGCATTTCTGGAGTTATTTAGTGAATTTTGATTATAATTGCGAAGGTCGTATTATAAATCACCCTTGGCAAAGCCGACTCAAGGGATTTATTTTAACAAGTGACAGTCTGCTTCTATAACAATCCCAAAGATTTAATCGAGGCCACATAAGATTCGAGGTTAGTATTGTCCTTATCCTAAAATCAATTTAAAATGTAATATTAAAAGTTACATTAGCATTTTATAAGTTTTCATACCTTAGCTGAGATAGATTTATTTATTTCAGGCAAAGATATCACTCTTAAGAATTATTTATATTAGATTATTTACCGCCAATTTCTAAACAGACGCCCGCGCTTAAATTCAAATAAATAGTTATGGTTAACCTTGACAAGTAAATCACAACAGCAAAAAAAAAAGAAAATAATATATTTTGCTAAGAAATATTTGACATGTTTGTTACAAATACATTCAGGTAAGTAACAAAATTTATACATTTAGTGTTTCTTATACAGTTAATATTATAGGTCTAATGAAATTTTATTTGCGATTTATTTGAGGGAGATTTAGGATAAATAAGGTTATGTTTTCAAAGGTTTTTAATTTCTCGAATTATGGGTATCAGTGGGGATAGACGCCGCAAAAAATTGTGGTAGAGACGCTTTAATTTCGTATTTTAAGCCTCGTTTTGACGGTGATAGTACTATCATGATAGTACTCTCATGATAGTCACCTCGATTGTTCCATCATGAAAGTGAGGTGTTTACACGTATTTTAAAAAATATCGGGATCGTATATAGCAAAATGGCCGACAGGGCAAAAATTTGTGCAGTAGCAGCTGTTATTGGTGAAATAATTAATAAAATTCAACGTAGAAAAAAAGGAAAACGAAGAAGATATGGGTGAGAAAATGGATAGCAAGAAGAATTACACTTGGTGCTTCTGAAAGACTTCTGAACGAACTTGCTGTAGAAGATCCGAAAAGTTTCTTAAACTTTTTACGCATGAATGAGGAAATGTTTAATACGTTACTAAATAAAGTAAGTATAGGCCTAATTCCAAAATAATCAAAAGTTATATTATTCACTAGGTACAGATAAATTTATTTATTTATAGGTTTGTAGCAAGATAGAAAAGAATTATACTGTTATGCGAGAACCTATATCAGCAAAACTAAAACTTCAAATAGCTTGTCGATACCTTGCCACTGGCGACTCATTGGGATCATTGCAATACCTTTATCGAGTGCCAAAGTGTACTATAAGCCAGTTTTTACCATATGTTTTTGATGCCATATACGAAGTATTAAAAGAATATGTTATGGTAGGTAAACAGTAACTTTATTTACAAAATTCCAATCTCAAACAAAAAAAAATACAAAAAATGTTCAAACAAAATCAACAGAATATTCTAAGTTTTAAGTAAGTATCTATTTTAATTGAAATCAACACCGGCGTCATCACTTTCCGCCCAATTCTTGAAATAATTTGTTAATTGCATCTGACCCTGATGCCGAAATTGATATTGTTCATTTACCCCTGAAGAAGTTGAGGAGTCTGTATTGCCTTGTAAATAACTTTCTGAGCAAATAGTCTCCTGTGCTTCATGGGAAAATAAAGGATTATTGCCATTTTGATTTTGCACTTCATTTGGAACCTGCTGATAATGATATCGTTTATTTTCCCCTGAATAACTTGATAGTTCTGATGTATCGTCTTGTCGATACATTTCTGATGAAGAAGTAGTGGTCCGTGTTTCCTTGTCGAATGAAGTGTTGATTACATTTTGATTTCTTAAACAACGCAGGCGAACAGTTGTTATAGATTTCTGGATATCCTCCTGAAGTAGTAGTGCTTCTTGTAATGGAAGGCACTTAAGTTGGGAAGAAACATGTTGTCCGAATGCATCAAATTCATTGGAGGCAACAGATGCTACTTCTTTTAAAGCTTTAACAGCCTGGTCCAACGATTCATCCTCCTTACTTTTTCCATTGTTCGCGAGTCTTTTCCGAGTCTTTGTTTTTCTCGCCGAATTAACAGAGGGGGTTTCTTCATAATCTCTACTAGGCTCTTGTGAAGATTGATTTGGCGTTATCGGCTGTGCATTAAGCTTTTTAAAACATGATTGTGCCTCTCTTGAATTTGTAAAAGGGTTTTTTTCACACTCCCATGTCTCTTGTGTCGAGTCTTCATTTACTATTGAGGGTGCATTTCCCTGGATTTCTTCTGAAATTTGTTCTGGCAACATCTACAACAAAAAGCAAGATAAATAATATAATAATAGTACATTACCTTATAGGCTGAGAATTTTTTATTATAGCTGAGCCCAGAATTCACGGCCGAGCCGCTAGAAGTGGGCGAAGCAAATAATATAAGATTCGCAGCCCTGTTGTATATACACTATTTTTTTAAGAAATAATATAATAAAATAATATAAAAGAATGATTTTAATTGCTTTAATAAATGTGTTTTCATTTTCAGATACCAAAAACTGAAAACGACTGGAAAAAAATTATAAATGGGTTTGAAACTTGTTGGAATTTTCCGCAGTGCATAGGAGCAATTGATGGAAAACATGTTTTAATTCAGTGCCCTCCTAATTCCGGTTCTCAGTACTTTAACTACAAAAGAACCTTTAGTATTGTACTACTGGCCCTGGTGGATCATAATTATAATTTTATTTTTATTGATATTGGGAGTTATGGCAGCATTTCCGATGGTTCAATATTTGCTAAATCCTCTCTTCATCAAGCGCTTGAAAGAAACATATTGAACCAACCAGACGGTTCCGTTATATTAGGAGACGAAGCATTTCCACTTAAGCCATATTTGATGAAACCCTATCCTCGACGAAATCAATTAAGTATTGCCCAGAAAGTATTTAATTATAGACAATGTAGAGCCAGACGTGTAGTAGAAAATGCGTTTGGCATAATGTCTTCGCGTTTTCGTATATTCAGATCTCCAATATTACTTGCTCCTACCACAGTAGTAAAATTAATAAAAGCTACATGTGCCTTGCACAACTGGATAAGAAAAGTGGGAAATGAAGTAACAGTAACAGCTGATATTGAAGATCACGTGACAGGGCGAATAATTCCTGGAAATTGGCGCAATGTTCCTAGACAAAATGGTCTGGCTGATGTAAGAGCAGCTTTGCAGCGAAATTATTTGCCAGAAGCTCGACAAAAAAGAGAAGACTTAACTAACTATTTTACAGGGCCAGGAGCACTCGATTGGCAATACAAAATGATAGAGTAGTAATTGCGAAGATTCATCCAAATAATGAATTATCATAAATTTCTTCTAATATTTTATAATTTAGGATATGTCAAAAAATATATAAGTAATATAATTTGATCAGCTAAGGGTGTTCAATATCTTAAAAGTCCTCATAATTCTTATAATTCCTTAAAAAAATCCTAATAATTCCCACCAGCTTGTGCAAATAATAATTCCTAGGTGGTTTATCTCTCAAAATCTAACATACAGTATGTCCGGTAATAGGGTAGACAAGAGGGCAAACGGAGCAAAAATTTAAATTTTCAAGGAAAAGACATTCTTTAAAATAAGGGTATTTTATTCTTGTAAAAAAAATTGAAATTTTAACTTTTGGGACACCCTGCGTATATTTTTTTATTTTATCGATAATCGTATTTTTTTGGAAAGCAAAACTTTTTATAAAGAATATCGTTTCCTCGGAAAATAAAATGTTTGGTCCGTTTGTCTACCATCGCCGGACATACTGTAGCGTGTCCCTTGAAAGTAGCTCACCCTTATAACTTTTATTTTTTACCTATTATAACCTTTTAATGTCTGATATATGGTATCAGACATTAAAGGGCTATAATAAGTAAAACATAAAAGTTATAAGGGTGAGCCACTATTAATAAGGGATACCCGGTATAGCAGTATTTTAGTTAGCAACATTCGAAAAAATCCAACAATTCAAAACTATGATCCATTTACTTGATCAACCTGTATGAAATAAAGCTGAAAATTAAACAAAACTTACCAAATTAGATTGTGACTCATTTTCTCCCAAATTTTGTCTCAAAAAACTGTCAGCTACGTGAAACCATGAGAGTTTTGGTTTATACACAGTATCGGTGCCCGATCCAGTTCCCATGGATTTCCTTATTTTAGCAACTTCTTGATTATACGTGCATCTAATGCTCCTTATTTTCTGCCTGAGTTCTTTTATTGTAGAGAGTCCTGATATGGGTAGCAGAAGTTCTTCTGCATGATCCCTCTTGACTCTGTTTTTGAAATCGGGGGAACTTTTTTTCCATAAACATGGAAACCTTTCATATTCTTCCAAAAATTTTATCGTGTCAAATCGCTGGCTGCTCATTTTTTTACCGAATTTTAATACACAAAATTGTGCACCTCTTCAAAAAACAACAACTTATCACGAAAGTACTTGCAACTATCTCATCAAGCGAGATAGTCCGAGAGCACTGTCGCGACAGCATGATAGTAACTATCGGGGTATTTACATGGTGATAGTTTATGCGATAGTGTCTCTCATGACAGCAACTATCGCATAATCTATCATCGTGAAAACGAGCCTTTATTTTAATTCAATATGCCTCGTAGAAATCAAAGAAAATCAAATAGGGTGTACAAGGGGTGACCGCCCTCTCCAGTATGCCAGGAGAGGGCGGTCAGTATGCCTGAAGAGAGCGATCAATATGCCTGCAGAGGGCAGTAAATATGCCTGCAGAGGGTGATCAATATGCCTGAAAGAGAGTGATCAATATGCTATTTACCTTAACTTTTGGATTACTTAACTTTTGGATCTTTATGTCCTCTAAACAGACAATTCCTTTTCAAGAAACTTTCATTCAAAACAGACCAACCGTTCATTTGGTCTACTGGAGCTTTCATATATACATATGTTGCTTTCCTATGGTCCCGCCTTGTTTCAGTGAAAATGTGGTCACTTTAAAATAGAAGTACTGCCGACGTGAACAGTGTTATACGGTGTTTTGTACTATTTAGACGGCGATGTATAGTTTTCTTCTAAAGATACCACTCACAACATGATTTTTTTCGATTGCGATTTATAACTGAGTATCTGAACTTGAGACAAACAAAACTTCACAAAACATCAACACTAAATGTTCTCAACCACTTCTGATATCGTCGGGCACGTGGGGAATTAGCAATAAAATGATAATTCACCAAAATAAACGAATATATTACGAGATGACAAACCCCACTCCGTGGCCGTATACAATTACAAAAAAAATTATTATAATTATAAATTACAAAAATTAGACAACATTGAATCACCGGTCGCAACCGCGCCTCAGCCAGCACTTCTGGAGTTATTTAGTGAATTTTGATTATAATTGCGAAGGTCGTATTATAAATCACCCTTGGCAAAGCTGTCTCAAGGGATTTATTTTCACAAGTGACAGTCTGCTTCCATAACAATCCCAAAGATTTAATCGAGGCTACATAAGATCCGAGGTTAGTATTGTCCTTATCCTAAAATCAATTTAAAATGTAATATTAAAAGTTTCATTAGCATTTTATAAGTTTTCATACCTTAGCTGAGATAGATTTATTTATTTCAGGCCTTTTTTCTATTTCCTTCTTTTTCTATTGTCGTATTTCTTTTTGCTCGTAAAGTTTCCATGTTCTTCACTGGAGCTGTTTTGAACATTGAATTGTATTGGAGTTCTTCCTGTGAATTGTCCGTACTAGACTTGTACCAGCCTTCCGTACACAACCTGTAGTACAACACCTATTTGTAGTCCGAATAAAAACGAAGTAGAAATCAAGTTAGGACCTAACTTAGATCGTATCCAGCCTCTGCCACTTTTGGTGGGCAATTAAAGCATTGCTTAGTGTCACCTCTCACTGTTTTGCCATCTTAGACACAGTCTCTGAAATAACAGGCCGGACTAAATTAAAATAGTCAACTGGTCCTGCATATAATGATCCTTTCGTCCCAAGCTACAGTAGTATCTGAACTAAAAATGTCATTTCTAGTTCCGATTCACTCCGCCGGAACCTGACTGTATTTATTACAACTGTAACATGCCCAGGACTTTAAACACTAAACCAAATGCGCCCGCGGCCACTGTGAGCTGGTGTCCCTAGTCAGTTCGAACGCTAACTCTCACTTTGCTACGCAAGTAGCGCATTTCTACGTCTTGGCCACCTTTAGGTTCTGTACAGAACACTTCAACCAGACTCCCCATCCTGCTCTTGTGTGGGGCTAGATCTAGCTCGGCATTGGTTCTAGTCTTAAATTGTCTGCAACATATACCAAAATCCTTTCATTTGTTAAATATCTTGGGATGATATATTGTACTTTTGACCTGGTGATGCCTAACTCCCGATATTGTTGCTGTTTCTGGGTCAGTTTTGTCAAAAGCAACGATGCTAACAGATTGACCGCAGGGTGAAATCTTTCCACTGCTTCGATAACAACCGCCTCTTCGGGCATTTCGTTGACTTCCATGATCCTACGCTGGCCAACTACTGCTACTGGCTGTACCTCGTGGTCCTCATTGACCTCTCGCTCTTCTGAGCTATCTTCACTTTTTTTATTTTTCCAGTAAGGGGAGTGTTGTTACGATCCAAAATCGAAATTTGAAAGGGAAAAAAATTAAATGAATTGCTGCTGCTGGATGTTATGCCTAAGGGTTTATTAATCTGTGACTGTAAATATATAGAAATAGCAACAACAAAACCTGGAGTTAAAACACAACAAACAAACAAAACCTAGATTAAAACGCAGTCAATAGAATAGTCATAGTTTTTGTTGTCTTATGTCGAGAGATATTGTTATGACAGTCTATAAGAATATGCTATATATATATATATATGAAACATATTTTTAGCAGTTCTAACAATTAATAGTACTTATTGTCTACAGTAAAACAAAACCATCAGCGAATTATTGAGTTTACCCTAGATTATATTTTAAGACGTTATGAATAAATTAGAATGAATGCCTAAAGGCCTGGTTTTTCTGACCAGATCGGCCCGAAATATTTCGGTGAATATTTCCGTACAGAACGCTCTAATTTACCGAACTCAGTTCGTTCCGAAGTTTCGTCTGCGTGTGGTTTGTCGGAGATTAAATTCGTTATGATTAGGTATTTCAGTTCGGTCTATTCAATCATTAAAATTTTGCGTTGTACGTACCCTAGGTTCTTTTTACGCTTCTAAATGGATTTTTTTATCGCTATGATTTTAGAAGAAGAACAGGATGATGATGATGAGTACTATGCGTTATTAGAAGTATGTTCTGAACATAATAGAGTTCTGAAAATGTTTGAGAATAGGGACAAAGAAGGTGCTTACAAACTATTAGTGTTAAAGCATCTTTCGGATAATGATACAAAGTTCAAAGAATTTTTCCGTTTAACTTCACAACTATTCTATACTGTACTAAATTACATAAAGAATGAAATCAGTTCGTAACCTACAAATAAACATCCGACTCCTATCTCTCCCGAGGAAAAGTTATGTCTCACATTAAGGTATGTAAGTTTTTATTGAAAAACGATTATATGAAAGTGCCGGATAAAACGTGAATGAGCATGATTCATGACGGGTCAGTTTAATTCGCTGCTTAGTAAAAAAAGAGGCGAATGCGTCAAAAGAAGTTTTTAATTCAAAAATACGTACCTACATAGATCTATAGTTAATATATCAAAAATAAATAAAAAACTAATAAAATAAATATTTTATTCTTTTTCATAAAAAAAATAGTAAAAATAGTAGATAAACGTACTTATCTTATTAAACAACATATTTATAATGGCGTAAAATCAGTTAAGTAGCTCTGTACTGTACCGTCTGGTGACATCAGTTGTTTCTGATTATTAGAATCGGTGTTGTAAGTAGAGCCGGGACCGACGCCGCTGACGGGATTAAGGCCGGGACCGCCGGGATGTCTATAAGCTATATTATATTCTCTTTGTCTTATGAGATGACAAACCGAGGAAGAATCGTCAGAGTGTGATGATAGGGAAGGGGATGGGCTTGGCGTTGATACGTACACTGTCTGCAAAGGGGAAAGGTTTGATGGTGGATATTTTTCTTCGATATTTTTCCCCTCAATTTCGGCCATATCAAGGAAGATCTTTCGTTTGGCTTCTGCCAAATACCCCGGCGATAGTGTTTTAGCTGTTGCTGCCAATGATTTGAAAAACAGATCAATCGGATCTTCAGTTGATTGAGGCCCTGAGGTAGTGGCTCTGTGAATATGGGGCTATATCGCGAAGTAATGTCATTCGTTCGGATCTTCCTTTGTGAATATCTTGGAATAATTGTGTTCTGGCCTTCTTTGCATCTATTCTCCCACGTGTTTGGGTTTGTGTTACTCTTTTTGTGCCGGCTATTTTTTCGATTTGGATCAGATCAGCTTTGCCCACTTTATTGACTTGAGTTGGTGTTGCTGTAATTTCTTGTGTCTCGTTTATTTCTTTGTTTTCCTCCATGGGTGTTACTTCTATGAGTAATTCTTCTATTATACTTTGATTTTCCGTTTCTTCATTTTGACTTTCTATATCAGAACCATTTCCTTCATGCTCATTGTCATCACTTACTTCTCCATCAGCGACGGCGGCAGCAGATACACTGGATTTTGTGCTAAAATAGAATATTTCAAAAATACCGTTAATGACAACAGAAAATTAAATTGTGTACCTACTTACATTCGATGTACGAACGCTGTGCTATCCAAAAATTTCATATGATGAAACTTTTCATTTCCCTGACTGGCTGCACTTCCGGTAGAATTCACTTTTTTCTTTCTAACATAGTAGTCTCGTAGGTTAGACCATCTCTTTTTGCACTCTTCACCTAAAAATAATGGTAATATTTTTCAATATTCTACTTTGTTATAGGTATTTTAATATTATTTTTAATTTCTTATAGGTATTTATTATCCCTGATTATAATTTTTTGTTGCAGGTATTTAGCCACGGGCGAGTCATATCGATCATTAGCATTTTCATTCAGAATTTGTCATAGTTGGATCAGTATTATTGTCCGACAAGTATTGTCTGCTATTCGTAACAAGATGACTGATATAGTTATGCCAGCTCCTACCGAAAATCAACACAAAAGAAATGCCCTAGAATTTTACAAACGCTGGAATTTTCCAAACTGTTGCATGGCGATTGACGGAAATCATGTTCGAGTAGTCTGTCCCCCAAACACAGCATCGCTACATTTTAATTACAAAGAATATTATTCTGTAGTTTTGTTAGCCCTTGTCGATGCTGACTGTAAGTTTGTAGCCATTGATGTAGGAGCTTATGGAGGTGAAGGAGATGCTGGGGTGTACAGTAAATCTAATTTTGGTAAAAAAATTGTTGCAGGTAGCTTCAGTCTTCCACCACCGGCAGTTCTTCCAAACACAACTACTTTACAGCCCCATGTTATCCTTGGAGACAGTGCATTTACACTTACAGAAACTATGATGAAGCCCTATCCTCAAACTTTATCTGCATCTGACACCACAATTGCAGCATATAATTACCGCCACTGTCGAGCAAGAAGAACTACGGAAAATGCATTCGGAATATTAAGCCAATATTTTAGAATTTATTTTACGCCCATTGGCGTAAAAAACGCCGACACTATTGATGATATTATTTTTGCCACCTGCCTTTTACATAATGTGCTAAGGGACTCTAAAATACCATATCCAGAAGAAAATACCCATTCAAATCCGCCAATTCCTGCTGAAACCTTTTCACCTTTAGCGCCTTCTCAGAACAGACGGCCCTCTTTTGCAGCTAGACATGTTCGTGAAGTTTTTAAAGATTATTTTAACAAAGATGCTGGCAGGGTTGGGTGGCAAAATAATATTATAAATCGCACACGATATCATGACGATGAGCTCTCTTCAAACTAACGTTTTACATACATTCAGCAAACATTTATTTTAAATAATGTGTTAAATATTATGTATAGATACATTCTGCTGCACATGATTTAGGGATACGGCCTAAAATGATTTTATTATTGTGCATTTTTTATGTATTTAAATATTTGAAAATTACTAATATCCCTAATTCCCGTGAAGCAGTTTAGTTTAACTACCTATGAAAAAATGAAATAAAATAAGTTGTTCTATTTTAGCTTGTACTTACCTGTTCTATTATACCCGGATTTTACCATTTCCTTTGCAATTTTTGCCCAAATATTATCTTTTATTTTCATGTCCTTGTAACTTTTAATTTTTTCGCATATAATGGAGGATTTTCTTTAACTTTGTCAATTAATAGTTCATCTTCCAGTGCAGAAAAATCTAATTTGTTGTACGTCTTACCGACGGACATCTTTTGAATAAATTAGGTAAGTTCTTGTTTCCATCTTGTTGCCTATCGGTGGACTATCAGAATTTTTTCATCATCTATTTTTTACTTCTGATGGTCCATCGATGGGCAACAAAATGGAAACAAGAACTTCCCTATTCATAAATTCAGGTATTTGGTGATTTTTCTTGAAAACATGTTTTGATCCGTCGTTTTTATTTTTTTGTCGCGCATTTTTCAGGAAAAAAATAAACAGCCCAACTTTTTTAGAAACACCGTGAATAATTTTATTATTCAAATGCCTGACAAGAAAAGATAATCGACGGGTCTAAATATGTTTTCGAGAAATAAACACTCGAATTTTAATTAATTTATTGATTCACTTTACACACATACTGTAAATAGTAATTTTATAAAAATAAATCCGCCGAAATTCACAATTTTTTTTCACAACCTTAACCTAACCTAACAAGTTCGGCGAACTACGCCCATTTGAGATCGTTCAAATCAAAACTAGTTTGATACAGACGAACTGCTGTCCGCATACGTTCCCGAAATTTCGTTCCGATCTAGACAAACCACTACTGCGTCCTACACATATACTGGGTTTGGCCGGAAACGCTAACGAACTTTTCGTGCTATATCACCGAAATATTTCGGGCCGATCTGGTCAGAAAAACCAGGCCTTAAGGGTTTATTAATCTGTGACTGTAAATATATAGAAATAGCAACAACAAAACCTAGAGTTAAAACACAACAAAGAAACAAAACCTAGATTAAAACGCAGTCAATAGAATACTCATAGTTTTTGTTGTCTTATGTCGAGAGATATTGTTATGACAGTCTATAAGAATATGCAACATATTTTTAGCAGTTCTAACAATTAATAGTACTTATTGGCTACAGTAAAACAAAACCATCAGCGAATTATTGAGTTTACCCTAGATTATATTTTAAGACGTTATGAATAAATTAGAATGCCACTGATAAACTGAAATTTAAGTCAGCCATATTAATCCCCCATCGCTCTTCCCCTTTGTGGTGAGTGGGTTGTAAAAAACCTTTTATAGGCGAGTGGTGCTCGTTCCCATTACCATCTCGAGAGAGACGAACTCCAAAGAGTGTGGAAGTCGAATTGTTATCCACTCTCCTCCTCCTAGCTCCTCCTCTTCTCTTCCCTTCCCCGGAACCGCCGCCGCCGCCACCGTATTTCATTACTTTGGGTTGGGTTGGGTCGCTCTCCACCTGAGTTTGTTGATGCTCATTCCTTAATTTTTTTATTCAATGCACATGGTTTGTGTTAGCAATTTATTACTAACTGGATAATGAAAGAGGCCTTAGAAAAATGATATCGCCGACGTCCACATTTCGTCTAGCGCCACTACTGGACGTATTATTTTTTATAATTACCTTATTCCATTTTTTTAATTTTACTAGTAATTTATTTTAGTTTAGTTTTATATAGTTTTTTTAATGCATTTAAATTAATTTGATAAATTAAATTCAATGCTTACGTTAAACACAGTTTCTGTTTTGTTAGAACCTCCCTAAATGTAGTATTCTGTTTCTTAAGTAGTTCTCCATAACTGAATAATACTCTGTGAAACTTATGTTTAGACATGCGAATATATTGATAAAACTTTATGTCATCGTCCATTAACTTAGGAAATAATGTGTAATGAAGTCCGTTTATTTTTTTTATTTAACCTGTTAAATGCTAGCCGTGAACATAAATCAAACACGGCACGATAGCGCGGCGTGAAAGTACTTCGCTGGTACACCGAAGGGCCCGGGTTCGATCCTGCCTTGGGACCGAACTTTTTTACTTTTTTTATCGTTAATATTCTCATGGTAAATGTTTAAATATTTGTTTTTTTGATCACCAGGACGGATAGCGTTTGTGGATTTATGAACCATACTGTATATAAGTAGAATTTGATATGTTCATTTGTTTTGAAGGATTATGGTAACAAATAATTCTTAGACAAGCTTAGTATGGTTTATTTTTATTTTTAGAACTGTTATGATCTAGTCTAAAACTGAAAAATATTTTTAATACTAAAAATTATTTGCTGATAAAGTTGTGTTAAATATTTCGTCGATTTGCATGGAGACGTTGAAGTTTTTTTTTTGGTACAAACAGCAAATGGTTTTTGTAGGATCGACGGGTAAAAACCGTTTTTTTTACTGTAAGGAATCTTGATGGGTCGTAGGACGATGGTAACCGAACGTGGTTCGTGGTTCCCGACGGGAAAGATTATTTAAGCGACGGGAGCGCGAAAACGGGGGCCTTCCTTTTGAGACTAAGTACCCGTGATCTTTTCTAAGAAAACCTCGTGAGCAAGATGTTTAAATAAGAATAACATCTTTTGCAAGATGTTTAAATAAGAATTATTCGGTAGGCTTGTTTTTTTCCATTCAAAAAGTAAAAAGAAATCCATTTACTTTTAGTGCATAGCAATTTTCAGCAGTCGTGTAACTTTTTATTTATAAAGATTTTCACGTACTGTTTGCGAAGAAAATATAGCAGAAATATTAAGAAAGTTTTTGAAAGAAACTACAATCAATTATTTCTAATGGATTTCGAGATATCGATTTTTGAATTCAGAGTTCTAATAACGCGACCACTGTCGAACACCAACTCAGTTCCACTTCTTTTTACCTGCAAGTGTTTCTATCTTGCACTTAAAAATTAACAAATTATAGGGAAAATTACAATGAGTCGTTAATAAATAAACAAATAAAGTATCACGAGGCGTAATTAATTATAATTAGTATTATTTTTTGCTTGTGAATAGTACTGGTAGTAGTATATTCAACCAAAGTGTTTTTTTAAATTATTATTTGAAATTAATGCCAGAATAATTGTAGTAAGAATGTGTTGGTTTTAAAGATTTATTTACATATTATTTTTATTTTTAAATAATTGCATTTGTAGCATAGCTAGCTCAGCCTCCGTCTCAGCCTTTTTCGGGATTCTGTGGTGGTCCGCAGGTTTTTCTCCGCTACTTTTTTTCTTAAAACTGCTGCCTGCAGGTTTTCCTCTTCAATTTTTTGTCTAATACTGTCTAGTTGGAGTTGTTGCTGGATGCTCTCTTCCACCTTATGCATCCTTATGTCTGCCTCTTTTTGGGCAGCCCGACCTTGTCACCCTGTAACACAATTATTAAAATCAACACCATACGAAAATATTGTATATTATTTATTTACCAGTTCGACTAGCCGTTTGTTTGGCAGCACATAATGGACGGTCAGCTGTGAAGGTGGTGGTCTTTGAAGTCGCATCGACAATTTTTAAATGCCCAACCCTAAAAAAACAAATTAAATTAAAATCAAGCTAAGCACAGTTTACTTTAGAATTACCAGAAGTGGACGGATAAATATCCTCTGGCTCCTCCCCTTTTTACAAAACCACTTCATGGCCTAAAAATAAATATAATTAGATAAATGTATTACAATTAATAAGTTAAAAAAAGAAAATGTCTATAAATGATTAATGGTTTACAGAATATTATTAATTTTCAAAGAAAATGTAACAAACATTGTAGTATCTGACGTTTCCTCTGGCTGTTGTCTCTCGTAGACGCCTGTCATGTCCCATTTACACGACATCATCACAACTGCATGTGGTGCCGCCACGTTCACTGCTTCCATCACAGGGTTCTGTGACTCAGAACGCCCCTGTTCCTAAAAAATATGAAATATAAATTTTCTTTTCAGGCCAAGTCATGTTTTTCCAGAATAGATAAAAAATCTGTTATCTATCTTCTTCTGTAAAAAAACGGCATCGTATTTTCAAAGATTTTCCCGACATCTTAAAGTTACAGAAATGTTTCATTTTACGAGGTGGTTTTGCTGCATAAGTTGTCCATTTTCCGTCTGTATTTTTCCTTAGCTCATCATATTTTTCACCCTTTTCACGTTTAATTTTACATTCTTGTCTTTTCCAACAGGCAGTGTCAGCCTTTCGCTTCCTTTTTCTTCTACTGATTTCAACGTATTCTTCTTCAATGGTTTCAATCTCATTATTTTCTGGTCCACTATCTTCTTTATCTGAATTTTCCTTTTCCATGGGTTGACTCATATCAAGATCATCTTCGCTCTCTTCATAATCACTTTCATTTGATACAAAGTCTTCATCATTATCCTGGTTGGTCATAGAAATACCTGAAGTACCAGGCTGGGCAGTATCAGTATAATCTGCCTCCTGGTTGACCATAATAGTTGAAGTAGCAGGCTTCTTAATATAATTATCATTAGGTCTTAAATTGTCTTGCCCGTTATTCCTGTAGTCACTTTCCAGATTGGAAGATACCGTTTCTGCAGCGCCTACGATGTTAATGTAAAAATAAATTTTTTGCTAAGTAAAAAAGTATTTACAATAGTGATCGCTTAGTGATAATAATTCTTCATTTTGTTCCCCACAGTCATTCATCAAAACTTTAAGAGCTTCTTCTATTTCTTTCTGGAGTTCAACACAATCACCATCAGTTTTGTCATTGTTTGTATTTGTCACTAAAGCATCATTGTCGCTATTTCCTTTGACCATTTGCGAAGCTGATGCATATTTCAATCCATATTTGAAGAAGTTGTATCATTATTTTCGTTCAAAATTTTATGGGAATTTGTCACTAAATTTACCATAAACTTATTCTGCTGAAACCCCCATACATCTTAAAAAGAAAAAAACCGCTGCCAGCTGCCAATGGAATCAATACTTCCACATCATTATCAGTATTAAAAAATAAAGAAAATATATAAATTTAAAATCAAATGTATAGCGCCACTGCTTATTTTTTGTCAAAATTAAAAAAATAAAATTGAAATGTACACACTTAAAAACCTATAAAATAACATACCTACAAATCAATTCTTTGAAAAATTTGAATTTTCATCCCCTATTATTCCCACCCCATTTTTTTGGCTTAAAAATATATCTGTCTTTTAAAAATCTTTTAAAAACAATATTACTAGTTTATTTACAAAAAAAGCATTTTTTTGTCGATCAACCATCTTAACGATTTTTTTTTCAAAAACAATCCGAACCAATGTCCTATGGATTAAACCCTCTATACCCAATGCTCAATTAGCTCTATTAGTGTGACGTCATTAAATTTGACAGATTTTTGTTTCCAAACAAAGATGTCTTCTTAGTTATTCAGAAAATGAACTCTGTTGGCTAAAATTATCTGTGTAACTAAAAGAAAGTTATATTACCACGATTTTTTAGTTATTAGGTTGACATTATCAATTAACGATAAAATTAGAACTAAATTCTTTATATTAAATTCTTTGTTTGGAATCAAAAATAATATGTCAAAATACTTCATCACTAATAGAGTCCATTCCTTCAAAAGTTATCGCGTAAACTAACAGACACAATTTTTTTTGCCAAAATTGGTTTACTTTTACATTGCAAGACATTTTAAGTTGATTTAAGCAAAAAAAATTGATTTTTTTGCCGTTACTATGTACTTACTTCCTCTCCCTTCGGAATGTGGAAGTAGTAGATATTTTATAATATCGAAAATAGTTTAAGAATATAAATGAACTGCTCAAATCAAAACCGTCTATGTCTACATTTCAGCATTTTTTGTCATAGACAGTAAATCTAAACCTCCTAAGTCGTCTTCGTACAAATCATCGGAATTAGTTAAAATTCAAGCCAATAGTCGAAATTGTAGAGTACATTTTGAATTGATAGGGATGATAATGAAAATGAAATGATAAAACTAAAAACTCCTGGTCGTATAGTGTGGCAAGCCCAGTAATTGTTCCAGTAGGTGGTCGACTACCACACCTGAATGATGACCGAAAACCCCAGGAATTAACATACTACCAATGTCTTGTTCCGTTAGCCATATTCGTGTCCGTAATCCATCAGCAAATTTCGTCATATATATTCATCAGACCTACAAGGTTACCAAACCTTCCCCAGGTTCAGGGGGAGGTTCAGAAGCCTTGCTTGAATGTAAGTCCACCACAGGATTATAAGCGGGGGCACTTGCTCCTTGCAAGCTACCAAGGGAGGTCCTTGAAGATGTAAAGCCCATCCATAGGAGGCAAAAATTCCCAGTCAAGAAGCCCAAAACAATAGCCTTTATGTTCACTCTTGTGGATGAAAAATCCAACCACACAGGTCAAAACCATATAGCTCCGATGTTCCAGACAACCAAAACAAAAAAAACTATCACCAGAGTGGCGTTAACCACTAAGGTTCTCCGTCCTGTCACTCCTTCACCAAAAAGGTCCATGCCACCACGGTCTCCGTTAGTACCACGACTTGTCCTCTACTTCTCCAGGCTGGGGCTCCAACCATTCACCACGTTATTCCGGCAGTAACGACTGATGTACACATCAGCAGGAGATGAAAATAACTTCCCATAACCCAGTGTTGCGACACTATGAGAAACATACCTATTAACCATGGATTAGAATAAATCCCAGCCAAACTTCGCCCAAGATCTTTATCCGACTTCCTCTTGACCTCAGTGGCCACTCCAATGGCCACTCCTGGTGTAACCAAATCATCAAAGAAAAGCCAAGAACACACGAACAAACCCCAGAATGTCCTCAATATTGAGTATGGGTTCTGCAACGAGAACCCAAACTGAAAAATAGAAAACTCCGTGATTGCTCTTCCGGTGCTTGACGCAACGTTTTCCATATGAGCATAAGCAAGGGGCCTCACCGCCATGAAAAGAATAATGGCAACAAGTACCAATACTCCCATATGTATTCCTCCAGTTATCAACCGATTATCCATGCGGGATGAAGATACCCGTCTAAATGTTTGAATATCCTTAATATCATCTTTCCTCATCACGATGACCAGTATTCTAAAAATAAACCCAAGGCAAAGCATCGCCGTTGGAATAAATCCACCTTGAGGCCAGCTACACCACACAAGGAACCCGTAAAAAATAGGGGTAAGCAACCAAAATATGGTTGGTTTAGCAGAGTAAATTGCAGAAATTTCCCACTTTTGAGCCTCGTGGTATGATGCGCAGAAGCCCAAACTGGCAAGGAGGTCAATCAAGTGCTTCGAAGCGTACTTTCTGTACAAAAGCAACGAGAGGCTGCACCATAGGGGTGATAAGAAGCTCCTTGGTCTGATAATCGCAATAATGGCATTTCCCAGGGCAACACATTTTCTTTTAGTTTCTTCTACTCTCTTTGTCTTTCCCAATAGAAGTCCCTCAATAAAAAAGGTTAGAGATTGAGGCGGTGTACCTGGATCCTTTAGGAAGTCGTCGCTGGGTGGATATGTGTCTGTGTTGTATACTTCACTTCAAATGTCTTGACGTAAAATATCTATAGCTTTAGCAACAATCCTCAACCTCTCCTCTTCAATTTTTGACCCATTTTTTCGTACCATGCTTCACTAATAATTTTGTACCCATTATCTCTAAAACATACCACTGGCACATTGAGTCTGTTGGTCCCTGGAGTGATCAGTATTCGGTCCCCATATTTCCTTTCCAACTCAGACTTGATAGTTCGCCACTGGGGTTTGTCCCCTTTTGCAACACCCAGTATCTCATCTCGAGAGAACTGACAATCCGTGTTTCCCTCCATGTAGGGGGAAAATCTCCTCCATTGCCTGTGTGGCATGGCTGTATTTCGGTAACTCAGATTTCGGAGTAGGGAAACTGATAGGCTTCACAAATTTGTGGTACAAGTCTTTGTGATATACTACCTCCTCAGCAACAAGATCGTTAATGGAGGACAGGCGACCAAGAACTTCTTCACCCCAAGAATCCTTCCTCATAAACCACGCCTCTCTGATACGATACTGAATAGTTAGAGTCTGAACTGAATGAACAATTCTCCTTTTGTCCAAAGGACTTTTCTTTTTTTCATTTGTACATTGTGCACATAATAAACAATTGTCCTTAAAGTTAAATTTGGGAATTGAAGACCTGAGCTGAGATGGCCCTGCCTCTTCCTTGGATGTGGATGACTCCCTAACATCTTTTTTAATTGTGTCAATTCGGGTGTAATTTTTACGACAACTGGTATGAATCAAAAGGGTTGTCAAACCATAGAAACCTCGGTGTTTGTCGTCCTTCCGTTCCTTGCTTGCTCAAATAAGGCCCAGTATTCCCTTTTCTCTCACCTCAGAGACGCCCTTACTTCTTTTAACGATGTCATCAACAAGCACAGGACACTTGGTAGTATTCATTGTGGAGATACCTGCAACAAGAAAATGAATAGTAAAAAAACCTGTTTTAAAAACAAGCTTTTAATAAAACCAAAAAAGAAAATAAATTTTAAATTAAATCAACGAGATCAGTTTATCATACTATAATAATTATACAATTTATGATATAAATGTTTTATTTGTATATCTCTAAAATGAAATTTGCTTGTTCTTATGTAACAAGATTTTTGTTTTTTGCATTTAACATCCCGCTTACGGGGTTTTTAACAGGACACTGTCTCCTCAATGAACACCTCAGTAGATTGAAACTAAGAAGAAACGGCGAATGCAGATTCTGTGGGGAAGATGGTGAAACACCAGTACACCTCATCACTGAGTGCGCCGAGACGACAACCATTCGTGCCATGAATTTTGGTACGACTGATATTGGAGATGGAGAACTACCCCTCTATAAAACCGTCCCAGATACTGGCTTTTGTCAAAGCCCTGGGACTGTATGATGAGTTATGATTCAAGAAAGGGGGACACAATGGATCTGTAAGGTCGAAGTGATTAACCCCCCTCCCACTCATTCTAAATTCTAAATTCTAAACATCCCGCTTTGACGTGTAGCAATACATATATATCACTGCATACAAGCGATAGTTGTGGCTCAGGAATAACAAAACTAGCTTCTTCTGAAAAAGCCAAAGATTAGCGGTGTCTATTTTATAACCGCTAACTAATGCCCTTAAAATTAATGAAAATTTCAAAATTAACTGTTTATCAATTCCTGTTATAGAAGCAGACATTTCGGAATCATAAAAAAATCTTCTGGCTGTGTTGCCGTCGTTAGTTGACCCGTAACCTGGTTTTGTTTTTTCCACCATCAATCCCATTTTACATTTGAAATCCTGTTGGATTCGTCTTTTCGTTGTTTCAAAGATTTTTTATCTTTAGTTCCCCTTACCTGCCACCTCTTAAAAGGTAGCCGATAAGCAATAGGTATGTAACAAGCAGTCGAAAAAACGAATCCAACAGTGTAACGTGGATAGTCCGAAACGATAATTTTGAATATTAGGGAGTTTATTAAGTGCAACGTCTCTATTCATTTCTCTGGGACTAGCTCCGCAGACTAAAGATTTTGAAGTGGAATTAGTGTTGGACAAAATATTTGCAACACTCCCATCGAACATAGTAAATAATAACTCGAATGAAATATTAATGTTCTTTCCTTGTAACAGGTGTTGTAACCAATTAACCGACTAATTATTCTTTTAAGTTTATCTTGTTCTAACGAACTAACTCTGCATTTTCTTTTAAAAATACGAATTTTATTGTGTTTGTCTGCAAAATAGAGTTGAGGACGTTCTTGAATTTTGCTATATAACTGAATCGCTTGTTAAGTCCACTAATTTTAAGGGTGAAAACGCTATTAAAAGCATAAATTCATCCGTGCTATTTATGTCTTGGTTAAATTTTTTTTTATAAAGACTATGCTCCGAGCTACCATCGAAACCCCACTTGCAAATTACCTTTAAGCGAGAATTCAACTGATCAGTTGTCAATATATTTAAAATGCTTGACGCCGTTTATTCTCGAACTTCCTGAAGATTGATTTCGGCTGATATTTCAGTGACATTAATGTTTGTTGGTAAATATAATTGTTTGGTTTGTACAAGGGCCTGGTAGCTCGGGAAACAGTCT